TGTAAGTTCAAAATATTATCACTTATTTAAATAATATGAATTCCTTCTTTATGCATAAGTAGATCCTGTGATACCATAGGACCATGAGATCTGTGAGTGAATAAGCTATACACTATACTGTTCTCATGAGATTACATCTGTACAACATAAATAAAAATGAATCAGGGGTTTCCTCATTTAATGGTCTGAGAAATATAGGGGCATAATTCTTGGCTCCAAAATTTCTTTCTTTCTTTTTTTTTTTTTTAAAGATTTTATTTATTTGACAGAGAGATAGATAGCGAGAGCAGGAACACAAGTGGGGGGAGTGGGAGAGGGAGAAGCAGGCTTCCCGCGGAGCGGGGAGCCCGATGCAGAGCTCGATCCCAGGACCCTGGGATCATGACCTGAGCCCAAGGCAGATGCTTAACGACTGAGCCACCCAGGCGCCCCTTTGCTCCAAAATTTCTTATCCGAAACATACATACACTGTTGTAATAGTGTTTGACATTTCCTCATTAGAAAATTACTCCTTTGCCTTTTCCTTTTTTAAAAGGATACTGTAAGGGAGGTGGAGAAGTAAATGGTTGGCTGGAACAAGGAAGGAGGTATTAGGAAATAAGGAAAGATTAAGTTGCTAAGTTAGAGGGAAGAGTAGTGAAATTTAAGAGAATAATAAGTTAATTCCTTCTTACGTTATTTTGGAACAAGGTAGGATGTAAATACACATCATAAATTAAGATTCCCTGAAAATGAATCTAGTCTTGTTCTCATAACAAGAGATGAATTGGAAAACAAAGTGTACTGCTTTAAATGAATAATGACTTTCCTACATTTTCACTTTTGGAAATTTAGAAGATATTTTTATTTTAATTATTTTTTAAAGATAGATTTATTTTATTTTAGAGAGAGAGTACGTGTGAGTGGGTGGAGGGGGGAGAGAGAGAGAGAATCTCAAGCAGACACCCCACTGAGCGCAGAGCTGGGCTGGGGCTTGATCTCAAAACCCTGAAATAAGGGCCTGAGCCAAAGAAACCTGAGTCAGATGCTTAACCAACTGAGCCACCAAGGTGCCCTCTAGAAGATATTTTTAAAGCCTTACTTTGTGATTGCAAATTTACTTGAAAATAATTCATTCTGTAGTTGTTTTTTCATAGTTAAGTTTTAAAGTTTTACAAGGATGAAATTGCTGTGTTCGGTTTCTTCTGCTGTGCAATCTTTATTTCTGTATCTTATAACTTAACCAAGAGCTAGAAGTAAATGAGTTAGTTTAAAATTTAAACAAAACAAAACAGCAACAAAACCCAACTTAATGTTTTCCGTCTTCAAAATAATGAAACAGATAAAGTGCTTTGCCCTAATTCAAAGCATGATTCGAAAGATGAACCACCTATCTCTGACAGTTGTCAGGGAGAGAGGAGTGGGATATGATAATTGAGGACCTTCTGTTAATTCTGAATTTCCCTTATTGTTGAATTATAATACTGTGAATTTCTAGGATTATTACCACTGTATTTAATTGTTCAGAAATGTTTCCAGGTTTTTAAAAGACTTTTGGTTCATTTATTATTTTACATCGTTGTTAAATCTCTCAGTCAGCATGGATGACTGCAAGATGACTATGACAAATTATGTAAAAGTATTAATAATCTGTTTTAGAACTTGGATTCCAAATGAGGCCTTTGGCAGAGAGCATGACTCAGACATAATTTTATGAAGCTTTGCATAGATTGTTACATTGCATCGATTATTTAACCCTTATTTTTGTGGGTCGTGGAGTAGGCCACTTTGTGATGATAACTGGACAAAATGTAGTTTTTACTCTTCTCTGAGTGCATTTCTATCAGTATTTAATGTGCATTGTAAACATCATCAAGAAACATAGATACAAAGTTCTCTTAAGGCCATCTATACAGAAAAGGCTTCAAGGTTGTAAAAGAACTTCAAAGGCATTTAATCATGTATCCAGGTATTTCTCGAATTCCTTCATGTCTCTTCAGTTTCTTCTTGAACACTTACTGCCTTCTGAGGTGATTGAAATGTCCTTTATTATAAATTTTTATTTTAATTGAAGGAGAGGTGAGACTTCTTATGGGTTAATAATTTCCAGTTTTCTTGGGTTAGTTTTCAGTTTTCAGATCAGCCTCAAGCTTAAAGGTAATGGCTGTTTGATTAGAATATTTGTATAGCTCCAGACTTAACAAATCCTTGTCATTTTCTTAGGAAATGTGAAAATATTTAAGTGGTTAATTACTTTTTGAATTCTTTACTGTAGAGTCCTTACATAGTCTTTTTCCTTCCATTAGAAACACAGTAAAGCAATATTTGTATTTCCTAGAAGCTCATGTGTTACAGGTACTATGTGTTCCTAACTAGATAGTTACCTGAATTTATATTTAAATGTATTATTTTTTTTTAAGATTTTTTTTTATTTATTTGACAGAGAGAGACACCGCGAGAGAGGGAACACAAGCAGGGGGAGTGGGAGAGGGAGAAGCAGGCTTCCTGTGGAGCAGGGAGCCTGATGCGGGGCTCAATCCCAGGACCCTGGGATCATGACCTGAGCTGAAGGCAGATGCTTAACGACTGAGCCACCCAGGCGCCCCTAAACGTAGTACTTAGTGTGAACCTAACTTACCTTGACATATCTATTGTGGGGATTAATAGTTTAAAATAATTTTTAAATACTTTTAGTTTATAGAGTGAACACTGTTCCATGTTTAAATGTCCTAGTTAAAAATGTTTTACATTGATGTGTAATTTTTAAGATACATAATAGTAAATTTGTAAAATATTTTATCTTTTAGGAGAGGGTTAAATCCACCACACAGGGTGAAATCTATCTCCATGACAACATTCACACAACAGGAAATTGAATTTCTGCAAAAACATGGAAATGAAGTAAGTGTTTTTACAATTTTTAACTTTTTTGTTGGCAGTCATTTTAATAAGATTTAATAAGTTGTTTAGAGTGGTGAATTTCACTGTCTAAAAAGTTATCTTTGTATTCCATATTTAGATATTTTAGAATGTACTCATTTAATAATGTACTTAGAATTAATATCTACTAAATATCTAATAAATACGTTTATTCTGAGGTGAAACATGTATCTAAAATTCACCAACGTTGAATGTAAAGGGCATTTTTGGAGGACATCTGGTATTGGAGTAACTGTTAGTCTTTGCTTTAAAAGGCCAACAGAGAGAGAATTAACTTTGTGGTACTGTAGTAAACTTCTGTTAGGTCATTGTGTGATCAGCTTTTACTTGAGGTCCCCTCATGCCTTTTTATTACATGCTGAACTTTGTTTTGAGCAGGTGCTGGGTAGGGAGGAGGCTGGCAGTGCTGGGGGCAGCCCAGCATTAAGGGGAACCCAATAAGAATTTGGAGAGGAGCTTTTTCTTCTAACTCTGCTTTAATGGGTTTCCAGTAATTTCATTCTGTTTGTTTGCTTTCTTGTTTTTAGTTCTATGTTTTTACCATGCTGTTGGTGAGAGTGGTGATCTAATTGAAAAAACTATAAAACTGACAGAAAAAGTGGACATTTTGGGATAAGATTGAGCCCATCATCCTAATTGATTAATAATAACCATTATTTCATTATTTCATAGAAAGGAAATACTAATTTAGTTACACTATTCTGCTTGCATATTTTTGATATAATAGAAAAAAAGTTGTTTTAAGATTTTATTAGTTTTTTTTTTTATCTTTTTCACCCTGAGAAGATATATGTAAACATTTTACAATTTGCTTATCTTTCTTCCCTAACATTTTGAGAGTAATATCTTAAACTTGCTTGCCTTCTTGTTATGCACATGTGTTTTTGGCTCTAAAACAGTGAAGAAGCATAAATTAAAAACTATGAAATATTTTTAATACATGATATAGAGAAGTGAGCACACTATTTTGCTGATAATAAATTATTTTGCATAATCAAGTTCCGGACTGATGTCGGAAAATCTAAAGCTAGGGGAAAGGGCAGAAGATTTGTAATGAAGTATAGAATAATATATTTACCAATTGAAGTACAATCTGAACTATTTATACATAAAGTTTGGGATTAGACCAGTAGTATAAACTTTTAGTTGCACTCTTAGAATGTTGTACTAGTATGCAAAATTTTGGACATCAGAATATGGAATCAGAAATAAATATTATTCTGTTCTTAGATTAAAAATCTAATGATAATAAATAAATTCAGAGTAGTAGAACTAAAAACGATCCATTGGAGAAGTAAGTAAAAAATTTGTACCTGTCAGGAAGTAGCTAAGGTTGGGTGAAGACTGATTTCCAAGTACTAAGATTGAAGGAACTTTTAATTTTGGTAAGAACACTTAACATAAGATCTCCTCTCTTAAAAAAGTTGTAAATGACAATACAGTATTCTTACATAGAGGGACAGTGTTGTACAATAAGTCTCTAGAACTTACTCATCTTGCGTAAGTGAACTTTATACCTGCTGACTAGCAACTCCCCATTCCCCCTTCTGAGCCCCTGGCAACTGCCATTCTGCTTTCTGCTTCTATGAATTTGACTGTTTTAGATACCTCATGTAGGTGGAATCATACAGTTTTTGTCCTTCTGTGACTGGCTTATTTCACTTAGCATAGTGTCCTCAAGGTTCAACCATGTTGTCAAATATGGCAGTCATTAAGATTGATATCAAAATAAATTTAGAATATATACAAGGAGATACTTGATTTTAGGCAACTCATATCAAAAAGTAGAAACAAAATGTAAACTTAGAGATGACTGGAATGGGTTCATGAATATTAATCCTAAAAAGAGTCATGCAAATTGGTAGGCCACTTAATGCACTCACCAGGGCAGTCTCTGTGCTAGGTACTGCGAATGCAGTTACAGGCATTTCTCATAGGCTTAGCTAACAGCTTAAAATCTAGCTGGGGAGGCAGATATGTAACAGTGATAGCGTGTGTTAGATAATTAATGGTAAGAATAAGAAGTTTCAGAAGTAATATGGAAAGAGAGACTCAGCTTGTTGGTGAAAAGGAGAGGATTGGGAAGATCTCATAGAAGTAAAACAGGACCTAAGCTGGCAGGAAGATAACTGGTTCATTTGTTTTTAAGTTTGTTTGTTTGTTTATAAGTAATCTCTACAGCCAGCGTGGGGCTTGAACTCAACGACCCTGAGATCAAGAGTCACATGCTCTTTTGACTGAGCCAGCCAGCCATGTACCCTGTGGCAGGAAAAGATACTGAAGGCAGAACAAACACAGTGCACAAAGAAAAAGGGAAATTTATTGTAGTTCATACTGTTAGAAAATATACCAACTTTTTAAATGTTAAGGAAGACACACATACTTTCTGTCCCTAAGAACATCTTAGAACAGGGTATTGTGGTAGGTATATTTAATTCTTAACAGTATTAACAGTAACTGTTTATAAAAACTTAGAGATGCATAGAAGATGAGGATTGATATTATGAAGTGCAGGATGATTAACACAACTTAAAAACATTATAGACTTCAAATGCGGGTGCTTTATTATCAGTTTACCTTATTTAAACATTTAAGTCTTAAGTATAACATGCATAGAAAAAAGTGTACAAATCTTAATTTTTCATTTCAAAACATGTTGCTGTATTCTGTGTATCTTCTGTCAGTAGTTTGGAAAGGACCATACTCAATCATGTATATTTTGGATTAAAAAGACACTACTGTCATACATCTTGTGCATGAATGGGTCATGCCTGAAAAGGAGTGGTTCACCAGTTAAAAGAGAGTAAATTGACAGACAGCAGTCTGGGATCTTCTACTCCCTCCAGGGGGCTTAGCGTTCTGAGGGGCATATTTGGTTCTTGATTGGGGTATTACGGGCTTAAGCAGGTAAGTACAGTGGTTGTTGGATGACTCACAAAGTGTTGAACAGAATTAATCTACGTTCCACATGCTTTGAATGTTCCTCCAGACATTTATATGTGGGAAAACCTGTTTACAGTCATCTGTGTATATAACTTAAATCTGTTCTAATGCTTGTATTACAGTTGTGAACAACTTGCCAAAGAAAATCATGCTGCCAAATTCAGAATAAAAGAGTAGGAGGGGACTGCCAAGTTACAGGGCAAAGGACATGGATACAGGGAAGCCATTTAATTCACCATCAGCACAGTGGCCTAGCACATGTGTATATCTAGGGAAGATTTCAGATTTCATTCAGAACTATATTAAGAATTGTTCACTGTTTTTGGAAAATCACAAAACTGATGGCAGTGCCACTTACGGTATTGGAGTCATTAGTAAAGTACATCTGTATTAGTCTGTAAGCTGTGGTAAGCAAATAAAGTTATTACTGTTTATAAGCATGTATCAAGGACATGCTTAATATTTATAACAATGCATCATTAGTTTCTACAGATGTAGTTTACAAAGTACTTGAATATTTAGTATTCTCAGACTCCTACGGTGTGTTCAGTGGAGCAGATGTGTACATTATTACCTTATAGACCATAGTGTGCCAGATGTTAGTAAAATATTTTGCAGTGAAGCACTTTGTATTTATTATTTGAGGAAATTGTTTTGGCATTTTTTTCAAAAGTAAAATATTTTACAAAAATTCCACATATTTATTTTGTAATACTTTCTTTTGTATCGTGATGTTAACTTTAAAAAAAATCTTTAGTAGTTTTCTCTATTATCCTCTTTTGTGATATTGTGGGTAATTCATGGTCCTCTAGTTGAAGGAATTTCGCTATTGGGTTAACTGCTGATTATTAAAGTTAATGGAAGGAGGGCTGGTGATCAGTGCTATAGATAATTCAATAAAAAGAAAATGTATTAGTAATTTTATTTTGAAGCATCAGTTTTTCTTTTCTGGTAGCAAATTAACTCTTCATAATTACGTTTTAGGCCTGAGAATGAAAGAGTTACTACTGATGCTCCACAGGCATACAGTCTACATGGAGAAATAAAATCATGCATTGACATACTTGATTATCTTTATGTTAGATTATCAAAATAACCCCAAAAAATAGAAACTACTGCTTTTAAAAAAATCCTTCTAAAACAGTAAACCCATAAAGTAAGGTGTTCTTTTCTCTGTTAACATTTATGATGGATTCATCTTTTATTTTTGAAGCAGAGATTTATTAATCACCTATTGTATACCAGGGACTATCCCCTTGGGTGCCAGAGATACAGTGATAAGCAAAAGCAGATATGATTTTGCCTTCATGTAAAGCTTAGAGTTTAGTTGGGGTGGGGAGAGAGAAAAGGAAAATCATTTCTGTCAATTCTGTTTTGGTTTAAGAGTGAGAAAGGGCTTCAGTTGGGAGTTGCAGATGCTTTGAGAGTGTGGAGACATAGTATTTTTCAGGAAGTTATACTTATGATTAAATAGGCCTTATTTTATGAGACAAGCTATTCAGAGCTTTGGGGCAATTAAATTGCGTCTTTGGGAGAGATTGGAGCCATTTATAACCACAAGCAAGCACTACCACAAAATATTTTTGTTTCTAAAAAAATTTAAGATTCCAAATTCACATGCTCTGATAGTTTTGCTGGAATATCCATGTATCATTTTGTGATATTATATACCTAGTCTATTACGAGGTTAAACAGAACACTAGTGGTTATTTCTTAAATCATCCTGTGTAAACTCTAGTATGTGATGGTGGTTCTCTATACAGAATCGTGGACTCTGAAAAGTAGAAAGCCAATATCAGAAAGAGTGTTTGGACATTATCAGAGCAAAGACAGTGGAACTTTTTTTTTTTTTTAAGATTTTATCTATCTATTTGACAGAGAGAGAGACAGTGAGAGAGGGAACACAAGCAGGGGGAGTGGGAGAGGGAGAAGCAGGCTTCCCGCGGAGCAGGGAGCCCGATGTGGGGCTCGATCCCAGGACCCTGAGATCATGACCTGAGCCGAAGGCAGCCGCCCAA